GTCGCCTCCTGGTGTTGATTTGTGACCCCCCATTTCAGACGGGCGATGGTCTACACGTTCCCGTACAATCTGATCAGCTGGGCCACCTCCATGACTCTCGCCTGCCTCATGTCCGTCATCGTAGGCGCAACGTTCTACGATCTCCGCGGTGACAACAAAGACCAGGTCAGTGTATGCAAGGAACGTGCCACATGCGCATACTCGCCGCGCCGCTGTCGCCGTGTTCAACCATGCGACCTCCCATTGCTTGCGTGGATGATAAAAAAAATGCCGAACCGAGCCTTAGCTTCCAGCGCTATTTCCGCATCAGGACTAATCGGCGCAATAGAGTGGCACTGAAGTCCGACCCCGCTCCTCCTGACAGGAGAACATCCCAGACCGCCTGGGCTTCCACTACACGATGATGTCGCTGGCCCTGTGGCCGCTGCTGCTGCTCAGCATCAGCGAAGTGTGGCAGGAGAAGGACGCCGTCAGCAGGGACGTTGGCGACCGGCTCTACTCCCGGCTCTGTCTCATCGTCAGCAAGGTAACGGTGGCAGCCCAACAACCAACCGGCCAGCTATCTCTCGACGATGTCATCATCAACGGGGCATGGCAGAGGCCTGATGGTCATTATCAGCACGGCGTCAGCGCTAGCGCGGCCCGGGCAGGACAGGAGGAGGAGGAGCTGGTGTTCATGGAGTGCGCGGGCGGCTCAGCCAGCCGCTTGTCACCACAGCACTGCTGGTGAACAGTCACGCGGTCGAAGCAATGTCTCGACGGACGCTAGGATGGACTGACCGGGCCGCTGAGCGTGGCCGGACCGGGGATTGAGCGTGACCTGTCTTGGCAAGATATGAGAAAGTTGGGATTAATGCGGTCGTATTATGGTCCAGGCATATCATGGTTCCCATAACGGGTGCCGTGACGAGCCGGCGGACGTCTGACCTCTCTCCTCTCCTGCAGCTGTTCTACAGCCTGCCTGGCTCGGCGCTCCAGTGCCTGCTGCTCATCGTGCCGGCTTACAAAATGGCCGGCACGCACCCAAACGACACAGACACCTCGTTCTATCTCTACATGGGTGAGTTTACATGCTATGTGACCAACTGCCTCCGGCGCGATTGAATTTGAGCAAAGATACTTTGGTGTGTGGGGGAGTGTATGTTATAATCTTCCTACGCATCAAACGACGGCGCCCATCAACATAGCTCAGAATAGCAAACTAGCTCAAAATAGCCACTCGTCAGCACACAGCACACATTGTATACGTCAGAGCACCTCCAGCAGCGCCAGTCACGGACTTGTCCAGGCGCAGGACGCGCGGTAGTAACGATGGTCGATATCTGCGCCGTCGGCCGCCCGGCGCCCCCGCTAACGGCCTCCCGGCACCCCCGCTAACGGCCTCTCGGCGCTCCCGCTGACGGTCGTCCCATGCTCCCGCTGACGGCCTCCCGGCGCCTCCGCTGACGGCCTCCCGGCGCTCCCGCTAACGGCCTCTCGGCGCTCCCGCTGACGGTCGTCCCATGCTCCCGCTGACGGCCTCCCGGCGCCTCCGCTGACGGCCTCCCGGCGCTCCCGCTAACGGTCTCTCGGCGCTCCCGCTGACGGTCGTCCCATGCTCCCGCTGACGGCCTCCCGGCGCCTCCGCTGACGGCCTCTCGGCGCTCCCGCCGACGGTCGTCCCATGCTCCCGCTGACGGCCTCCCGGCGCCTCCGCTGACGGCCTCCCGGCGCTCCCGCTAACGGCCTCTCGGCGCTCCTGCCGACGGTCGTCCCATGCTCCCGCTGACGGCTTCCCGGCGCCCCCGCTGACGGCCTCCCAGCGCTCCCGCTGACGGTCGTCCCATGCTCCCGCTGGCGGCTTCCCGGCGCCTCCGCTGACGGCCTCTCGGCGCTCCCGCTGACGGTCGTCCCATGCTCCCGCTGACGGCTTCCCGGCGCCCCCGCTGACGGCCTCCCGGCGCTCCCGCTAACGGCCTCTCGGCGCTCCTGCCGACGGTCGTCCCATGCTCCCGCTGACGGCCTCCCGGCGCCTCCGCTGACGGCCTCCCGGCGCTCCCGCTGACGGTCGTTCCGTGCTCCCGCTGACGGTCGATCCATGCTCCCGCTGACGACCTCCCGGCCGTCCCACGCGGCCTCTTGGCATACTGGCGGCTTCTTGGCACCCCCACTGACGGCCTCCCGGCGCTCTCGCTGACGGTCGTTCCATGCTCTCGCTGACGGTCGTTCCATGCTTCCGCTGACGGCCGTCCCATGCTCCCGCTGACGGTTGTCCCATGCTCCCGCTGACGGCCTCCCGGCGCTCCCGCTGACGGCCGTCTCATGCTCTCGCTGACAGCCGTCCCGGTCCATCGGCAGGCTACATGCTGGCGTACCTGCTGTGCACGCGGCTGCTGGCGGTGGCGGCCGGCTACGTCAGCTCGTCACGCCACCTGTCGGCCGGCTGGCTGACGGCGGCGCTGCTGCCGCTGCTGCTGGCCGCCGGCTGGGCGGCCCACCCTCAGGACCTCTCCATCTGGACGCGCACTGGCTGCGCTGGCTCTCGGCGCCCGCCTGGATCTACCAGCGGCTCGTCTGGGACGAGCTGGCGCCGGTGCGCAGTTTCCGCTGCGACCCGCAACCCGATCGTGCCGCAGGACAACACCATCATCGTGCAGGTGGACTGCGGCGTGCTGACCGGGCGTCAGGCGCTCGGCTTCCTGGACGTGCGGCGCGCCGGTGAGCCGCTGGCGCCGCTGATCGCCGCCGCCGCCACCGCGCTGCTCGGCCTGCTGGCCGCCACCGGCGCCGCGCTCCTCTGCCGGCAGCGGCAGAAGAAGTCGCGCGGACGCGTCAGCAAGCACTCGTAGGCCAGCCGGGGGGCCGTGTGGCCGCCGGGACACTGCGGCGCCCGCAGGGCTTCGGCATCGCACGTTGTGCCGTCGTGCTAGCGGGCGGACCACGTCAAGCCAAATGACCGCGCGGCTGGTGGAGCGAAGCAGCGCGGTTTGCGAGGCGGACGCCGGGGATCGCCAACTCAGTTACCAGGGAGGTCGCAGCGGTGTCCAGCCACCGGAACGTGCTCAGCTGCAACGGGGAGACGGCTGGCAACGGCTGGGGCTCTCCAAAGGAGACGGCGACGGGCCACGTTAAGCGGAGCCCGGCCATGTACTGTGCGTCGAACTGCTGGGAACCGAGGACGCCACGAGCGCAGCCACGAGCCGCGCCGTTCAGAGCCACAACGTGCGTACGTCAGATGTGTATTTTTGTACTTACGTTGTTTTACGTAGTTGCTCTGATATTGTGACTAACGAAGACGGCGAACACCGCGCGGCAATGTCGTGTATGCGAGCGGACGACAGCGTAGCCAATGTTCGGAATAACAGACGCTCCGTCGCGGCTTTTAAGACGACCGGCGGCACTCGTCACTGCCGGGTAATGCTCAGGCTCGGGCACAGCGCAGCGCGCGGCGTAGATCGCGCCGTGAAATAAACTCCCATAGAAATAAATGACGACCGCGGACATCTCAGATCACAGGTGTGACAGAACACAGCCGTTTATGTTCCCTGTGAACCGAGACGCCAAACGGTGCAAATCACAGCTCGTGCATTTGGAGCATTTTTAAACGTAAACTTGTGACAAATTAAGAACGGAACAAACCCAATAAGGCACAAAGCTCAGGCGCTGGACATGCGCGGTGCGAGTTATCGCCACAAGCTCTAGCCTATTCCATCCAAGCGCAGTTGTAATAAGCGACAGGCACCAAATCGTAATAAATACGCGAGAACCAGGACACCGCGCCTGGCACCGTATCCCAGCGCGCAGCAAAATAAGCGGCTGACAAAACTAGGACGAATTTATTGATGCACTGACAACTTAATCTAACAACTTTAACACAGATACGAGCTGCCACTCAGTCGCGCTCGAAAACTCGTGCTCCACCGGCGAATGCGGTGCCGCGCGGCCGCCGCCGCCGGCACGGACACTCGCGCCCCGCGGCCGGCGGCGGCGGCGGCGGCGGCGGTCAGTGCGGCGCGGGCCTAGGGCTACTGGCCGCTCGCGGCCCGCGGCCCGCAGATACAGCAAGCGGTGCGGCGCCGGTCCGGCGGCCACGATACGCGGCGCGGATCACAGTCGCGGCACGGGGCGGAATCACGTCGGTCGGTGCGGCAGCGGGCGGCTACGCTCGCCGCCGGCGCGCCGGAGCCACAGGCGAGACACGGCCGCGGCCGCAGGATCACTGCTCGTCCCAGGCGGCCCCGCGCCGCAGCACCTGGTGCCGGCAACGCGCCCCAACAGGCATCGGGGACGGCTATCGTCTGTCTTCACGGGCCTCAACGCCGTGCCAAAGGCTTGATGTTCCGTGATATCTTCTCCTCTTCGGCCAGCTGCGAGCGGTACAGCGCCACTTTCTGCTTGCTGAACTTGTTCAGCACGTCCACCTTCTCTTCCAGCAGGTCCTCTAGCTGTTGCACGTATGCTGAGAAGGAACGACATGTGTCAGAACGCATAGTAACGCGTCACAGCAGGCGCCCGTGACATATCGTGACACAACACGGCCGGGGCCTGTCGACGCTAACAAAATCAGAATTACGCGAACACAACACAGAACGGGGCGATGTTCTTCATAGTTTAAAGCAGAGCGCGATCCGCCACCGACTCTGGCATGAAGCAGCCGCAGACGCACACACGCTCAGAACTCGAAATCCGACTTGTCGGTGTCTACCCATCAATTCTTTGGGAGATCGTCCTGTGGATGGCACTGGTCAATGTGAGTGATCGGCATGTCCGTCAAAGACAGCTCCGAACAATGGACGACGCCTCATCAAGACGATAAGCGCCGGGTGCTCTGGGGTCAGCAGGGCGGTGTGTGTGGCGTCATCTGGCGGAGGCGCCATTCTCGGGTCATCTCACCGTCCACGTCAATCAAGGGCAGTCTGCGTCTACCCCGCTCCTGTCTCTTTAACAGCTCACAAGTTCAGACGCCCATCTAGTCATCAGATCGCTCCACTCACCGTCCACGTCGTAGTCTACCTCGTTGGTCATCTTGAGCAGCGACATGTCCATCTGCTGCCAGCGGGCGAGAGCTCGATGGTGGCCTTGTGCATATCGAGCACCTCTTCCTCCATGTCCTGCAGGTGCGACACCGCCTCATGGAAGTTGTAGAGGTCAGCCGACAGCTCGCCCTCCTGTCAGGAAGAGTGGCGCGTGCGTCAAGCTGATAGTACCACGCTCGGGACACCAGACACCCGGGACACGGACGACGACCCGGCCGCGGCTGCGCGGCCCGACCAGGGCCGGCACTGGTGCTGGTGCCAGTGCAGAGTTGGCAAGCCCCAGCTGCGTGATGCCGTTGACGTGAGTCGTCGCGGCCCATGCAGGATAACTGGGCTGGCTTAGACAGGCGCTCTGCTAACAGTCATGTGGATGCCGACTGGGACTATTTTACACATGGGGACGGTGGAAGCAAAGGCTGTGGCATGGAACGGCCGACAGTTCCGCAGCTTTTTTGCCAGCGCTCACTGCACTGCTCATTTGATTTGTGTGAGGTTCAAGGCTCCAGGATAAGCACATCACAACAGCTTTCCAGTGCGTCTCATCCTTCTCAGCACGCGGGCCGCTGCTGGTGCGCCCGAGCGTGCGGGCCGGGCCGCGTGGAGGGGGCGGTGCCGCCGGTGACGAGGGGGCGGTTGCCGCCGGCTCCCGCCACCCGGGTAGGGGGAGGAGGACCGGGACGGCGCTCACAAAGAGGGACGGGGTCGGCCTTCTCGCGCGAGTGCAGCCTCTCCACCAGACCCGAGGGTCGAGATCTGCGCCGGGCGACACGACACAGGGTCACTGGCACGGACGCGGCGGCCAGTCGCCACGGCCGGTGACGCTCCGGTACACGCCACAACGAACCGTCCAACACATGGAGCATGACCCTCACCCCATCGTGTAACAAGGAACCGCACGGAAAACTCGCAGTGGCGTGCCTCACGAAGTCAGCGATGTCGTCATAATCTGCCCAACTCCGAGCATGACTGGTCTGAATAAACAGCTTAACGGCGGGCACGTTATAACGCGATAGCAACTATCTACTGAATATTTAGCTTTTTAAAGTTTTGAAACACTACAAGTTGCACCATTAAATTGCATGCAGCACAATGCCAAAATCATTAACTCATTACAAGACAATTCACTTATCCGTCAAAATGGACACAGCTTGACTCAAAAACCGCACCCGAAGCAAATCACGCACGCACACATGCGCACAGGTACACGCACAGGCGCACACACACAACACCTGTGCCAGTGGCCCCGCACCCGCCAGCCCGGCCCGTCCGGCGATGAGCCGCCGCGCCACCTACGTTGAGCGAGCGCAGCTGGGCGAGGTCGTCGTCGGGCGACTCGACGCCGCGCATGGGCTCCGGCTCCGGCCGGCGGCCGTTGCCGTTAGCGTTGTCGGCCTTCATCTCCAGCGGGTCCTGGGCGCCCAGCTCCTTGACGCGGTCGGCGTAGCGCAGCGTGTTGAGACTGTGCTCGCACGAGTTCAGGCCGGGGCTGATCATGGCGATCTGACGGGGGTCCGGGCCGTCAGCGGCGGTTGACGGCCGGCACAGTGCGGCACGGCGGCACACAAGGCCGTCAGCGGCGGGGCAGACCCGGCCGTCAGCGGCGGCGACGGCCGGCACAGCGCAGCACGGTGGCACACATGGCATCCAAGTCGCAACGCGGCGGCGCGCTGGGCACAGCCAAGTGTTGGAGGTGCAGTCAACGACCGGTGAGTGCAGTATGGGCCCGAGACCATTTCAATTCATTCGCCTTATGGGCGCTGCATGACCTACAGCAGTCGATGTGCCCCAAAACCCCAAATCATCATCAATCCACCCGCCTTATACCCACCCACCAGCCAGTGTGCAGCCCATCTCATTACGAGCTACCATACTTAGCGTGACTCAGCACACACACACACACACACAGGCACAGGTTCCATCACTCACCCCACCCACTTACCATGCACGTCTTGGACTTCTCGCCGATGAACGAGTCGCGCAGCACCTGGGTCAGCTTGGAGGCGCGGAACGGCAGGTGGGCGCCCTTCCGGCCCAGCGCACGGATGCACTCCTTGAGCGCCAGCAGCGACTTGTTGATCTCGGCGCCCTCCATGCGCGTCATGCGGTCGGACGAGGACGTGTCGGCGCCGCGCTCGTTGCCAGCCAGGTCGATCAGCGAGAACTTGCCGTAGAGCCGGCACCGGTCCGGCGGCACCCCTGACTGCCGCGTGCGCAGGATGATCTGGAAGACGGCGTGCGAGCGCGACGAATGGTTGTTGGCCGAGGTGGTGCCGCTGGTGCGGATGGTGTTGCCGTGCTGGATCAGCTTCAGCACGTCTTCCATGCTCTCCACCGGCCGCTCCGTCAGGCCCACCACCTGCACCTGCTGCTTGCCGTCCTCCAACACGCGCAGCTTGGCCTTGTCGTTCAGCAGGTCGAACACCTGCCGACGGCGGCGGCGGCCGGGGTCAGCTGGGTGCGGCGCGTCAGCAGCGACGTGACTTAGGGAACGGACTGGGGTTGGATGAGCCGAGGCCGGTGTACAGGCGGACAAAGCACAGGCACTGAGTGGCTGTGCTTCACCACACCGCCCCAAACTGAGCACTGTCACCACACCGCTCAAACTGTCATCACGCCGCCCAAGCTGTCATCACGCCGCCCAAAACTGTCACCACACCGCCCAAACTGTCACCACACCGCCAAAACTGAGCACTGTCATCACACCGCCCAAACTGTCACCACACTGCCCAACTGCCACCACACCGCCCAAACTGAGCACTGTCACCACACCGCCCAAACTGCCATCACACCGCCCAAAATGTCACCACACTGCCAAAAATGTTCACCACACCCTCCAAACTGTCATCATCCTGCCCAAACCTGTCACCACCACTGCCCAAAATGTCATCACACCGTCCAAACTGTCATCACACACCCAAACTGTTATCGCACCACCAAAACTGTCACCACACCGCCCAAACTGAGCACTGTCACCACACCACCCCAAACTGTCACCACACCGCCCAAACTGTCACCACACCGACCAAACTTTCGCCACACCGCCCCACACTGTCATTACACCGCCTAAACTGTCAGCAGTGCTGAACGAGTTGTGCAGAAGCCCTCACCTTGCCACTGTAGATCTCAAAGTAGCTGGCTGACACTGCCAGCCCCTTGTTCTTGTTGCTGGGCGACTTGAGCAGCCTAAACACGTCTTTTGGCGGCCATAGCGTAGATGCCCTTGTTGGCGTCCTGTGACTTGCCGTTGAACGTGCCCGCCCATGGTGTGTGTCTTGCCGGAGCCGGTCTGGCCGTAGGCAAAGCAGGTGGCCATGCCGCCGTCGAATATGGTGTCCACCAGGGGGCGGGCCGAGTATCTGGCGGTGACGGCGCGCCGCTTGTGAGAGCCGTCACCAGGGCAGGCGGGCGGGGCAGGCTGAACACCCACGGCACCACGACCGTAACGTGACGGCGTCACAAACAATCCAAACAGAAGGTGGTCGTGGCACGGAGCGCCAGGCAGGATACGACAACAGGTAGCCGATCAACTCCTGATCAGTTCGGGCTACAGAAGGTGTAAGCAGATAGCAGTCACGCAACCCGCGCGCTCTAACTGCGGGTGGCGGACTGTCCCTTCGCAGGACGCAGGCGCGCGGCTCCCGTCTCTTTCGTGATGAGTGTCTGTGGCGCGCGACTCCTGTCTCTTACGTGATTGCCCGACACTGTCAGCTTGTGTGCGACATCACAGGGATCAGCATTTCTCCAGTTGGGCTGCGCTGTGGGGCCTCCGCATGCCGACGAACACCATGTGAAACCTCGTCAGTAAGACACGCGATCATAAAACATCCGCGCCCACCAGTGCCATGCTGATGTACAACACGCCGCTGTTAATAACTCACCGGGCCTTTTGCCACCAGCACGTGAATAATTACCATAAATACCACGGCCCTGGCATCGTTGAATGGCCCAATCAGCGGCGCAACAAGAGCCGGCGCTCAACAGCGCTGTGGCCGGACGGTATCGCGGGCAACCGGGCGTCGACACCTCCCCCCCCCCCCACGCCCAGCCCCAGCTCCCTTTGTCGTCCGCACAGGGCCGGCCCTTGTACCGATACGGCCGCCGGGACCGCGTTAGCATCGGTCGGCACCGATTACCACGTGACCTTTGCACCGGCCGGCCCGCTCGCCGTGACAGCTGCCGGGTTTGAATATTTCAGTCCGGCACGCGACAATCAGCTGATCGTATTCAAGGCCCAGTCAGACTGAGAACAGCGGCGTCACGCACGGCCATCACCGTCCGCTGTCGGCAGGGTTGCCATGGTTACGAGTCACGGCGTGGATAAACGGCCTTTTCGTGCGCCGGGAGCGACGCTCATTGTGAGCCCAGGCACAGCGGCCGCCGCTGATTAATGAATCTATACAGGCTCGCTGTCCACTTAGCGCAAGGTTACAACCGGGCAGCATTTCCAGCCGGTCATTATCGATGGCTTAGGCTTACCAGGTGCAAGTTTCATCACCTGTCCCAGCTGATCGTATCATCTGAACAATTTAAGTTTGTATGGATTGTACTGAATCTCGTTTGGCGTCGGACTAATCGATACTGAATCTCAATTGGCGTCTGACTAATCGAAAGATCCTGCGACATATGTCACTGCTAAGACACGCTAGCAAATCCACCTCCCCAGTCGCAATGCATGCCAAATGGCTTTTATCCATCGGGATTCAGACGTAAACGGATCCCAGATTGCAACTGGCACGTGACAGTATTCGGCACGTGACCGTCAAGACAAACTATCCGATGGCCCAGTAATGCAGCAGGATTCTCGGAGCCACCAGCAAACCTCACAAAGGGTGATATACCATGCCGTAGATGCGAACAGCAGCTTGCGGATTATTTGGCTGGAGACAAACATGGTGCGGTGCGACCCGTGTTACGGATATAAAACGCTGGTTGCAACGCACGCACAGCGCACAACTGGTTACAGACAAAGAGCACTGCGTGACGTTTGGGCGGCACTTTTCCATTACGGCATCGGTTGCACGAGACAAAGGCGAGGCACGCGTCCGGGTCACAACGCAGCCGGGCCGGTCCGGGCCACAGCCCACTCCATCCGCCGCCCGCTCATCCCGGCGGCTGACTCATCCGGCGTAGCCCTCGGACTACAGCGCGCTACGGCGACGGCTGCGTCCCTCCCACAGGCGCAGAGTGCGGACTGTGCGGCGGCGAACGGCAGCCCTGCCCCAGCCCGGGATATGCCGTCCCTTCCCTGCGGTTGGCATCGTCAGCGCGGGCATCAATGGCCCTGTTTGATGTCGGCCCGCTTGCAGCTGCATGCCACGTGGTGCGAGGTCAGCTGGCAAGTGTCGCACCTCATAAACTGGGCCCCCGCGCATGACTCACCAGCGGCGTTACAGTCATGCGCCACGGGCGGTCATTTCGACGGCGCTCTAACCATTCGTGACATCAGGGCAAACGGTCATGTTGATGCATGACCGGCACGAGCGCTCCGCACCGATACCCGAAACACTGACTTCGAGCTCCCGGCCGCCTCACAACGGCTCGGTCTCGCTGCAGTCGGCTTAGCACGCGCGCCCCACCGGGGCCGTAAGGACCGAACTCTGAGCGCACGATATGACGGCGTCCCCGCTGCACATGGCGTGCACAGCTCATGGCTGCTACGTCGAAAGATTCAGCCAGCTCAAAAAGTCGATTCAGAAAGATCATGCTGTGCCTGTGAGCATTTGTAGCAATCTCCACAGTTCCTTCAGAACATGCCCCTTCGCGAACAAAAGGCACGAAAGCACCTGCGCCCTGCAGGACCACATAACGAACCTCATCCTGGCAACACGCAGTGCCACGCCTCGCGCGCCACGCAGCCCGCCAGCCGTACCACTCGGTGCCCCAGTGCGGACCCTGCCGGCGCCGCAGCACGGCCTGCCACAAGCTGCCCACAGCGGCCGGCTGCGCCCGCTCGTCGCCAGACGTGTCGACGCACGTCCCGACCAGACCGTCCAAGCGCCGCCCCACCGGGCCGGCCGCGCGCCAACTCACTTGTAGACGAGCGTGTTGTCGCACGTCTCGTCGAAGGCGTAGTCGAACCGGAAGTGCTGGTTCTCCAGGTACTTGGTGAGGTCGACCTTGGTGCGGGGCTCGTGCACGATTGTCTGGTCCCGGTTGGGGATGGTTACCACGTCGATCTCCTTCCTGCCGGTCTCTGGAGCGGGCCAGACGGCGCGCTCATCACGGCCGCTCGTGACAAAGTTGACCACAAGACACACTAACCATACGTGGTGCCGCGACATTGGTGTTACGGCAAAAACCCTTACTGACAAGAGTGCTACGTCACTACTTGCACGATAGTCCTTCTATTGCAAAAAACTTATACGCGACATTAGTGCCACACAACAAAAGATATCCTTCAATTACTACCATTCTTACTACCATTTTTTTAATTTCTAAAACATATACGAGGTTGGTGCTACACGGCAAAACTTACACTTCTTTCACTTAGTTATTCAACATTTATTTATACGCAACATTTCTCCTGCTGCAAAGACTGGAGGAATACCGCATTTGGTTACATGATACGGGCCGTATTTCAAAAATTATACCCTCAGCACTTCTACTCATGGGTTAAGCCCCACGGAAATCCAGGAGGAGGCGAACACATGGGAGGACTTGGACGGACGAAAAGCCCTGGAGTGCCCATCTATGATGTCCATACTTAGTGCTGCTGCAAATATCGTGATTGCCAAACCCGCGTCGGCGACAGTCCTACGCCACATCGCTTACACTGAACAAAACGTCTAGCGTATTGTCGTATTGTTGCCAAACAAGTTTGGAGCGCGTAGAAAAGGGCTAAACCTGTCACAAGACATAGAACACGGGGTTTGCCTAAATGTCACACACTTTCCTACCACAGATGAGGAGTGGTTGGGGCCCCCGGCTGAATATGAAACTACGCCCCTCGTCTGGTGTGCTCTACAACTCGACTTCCCTTTTGCTGCAATGGGTTACATAAGCTGTTGCTGCTACACGACATAAATGATGGTTCAAAAAGATTCGTATTAAGATTCTGCTGTAATAACTGAACCCTTTAATCATACGTCAAGCACGAAAAGGCAAAAAAATAACGTACCGTAATTAATATCTAAGTTGTCGCGTTGGCACCACGAACTTTTAATTTCAGTATTGTTCAGTTTATGTTCCCTCCTAACCTCCCTATCGTTCCTACACCCCTGATAGGCGTCCACGTATTTTCCACCCTACGACTGTTTCAAGGCAGCATGCGATCCCTCCTGACGCCATATCGTTTAGTATTGCTTCATATCGCTTCACATCGCCTAGTCATTCCGCGGCGCGGTGACTGAAGCTTTGATAGCAGTGATAAAAATAACAACCCTCTTATGATGTGAAGAGTGGCTCGTAAAGATCTCGCGCGCTGCCATGACCATCCGCACGGCACGAGTTTGGCCGAGGTCTTCGCTGCCGGGACACGGCTTTATCCGGGAATAAAAGGTGCCTCTTTCATTGGACACCGACATTAAAGAAGCACCGTTTGTTTCGGCTCAGATTTTGACAGCGGCACGAGTTGTAGCGAGGTCGAGTCTCTCCCCTTTTCCGTGCTAGCTTCTAAAATTAAGCACTGGCCCATGGGCGGTTGACTGAAAAAAACACCCAGACAGCGACTGGCCTCACCAACTCGGGAGAATCTGTATAGACCGTGAACTTTAACTTGTATAACGCTAATGGCATGCATAAGTCTTGCCAACAGACCGTAATGTCGCTGCCAAAATTACGATATGTAGACTGCCTAAGTTTTTGCAGTGCAAGTAATGATGGGAATACATTTTTCAGCACAAGGTTTGTCGTGTAGCCTTAGGTCGTACTTAAGCAGTCGAAGTACTGTCGTGTACAAGCAATGTTTGCACAAGTTTTAGCAAGTAACAGTAATGACGAGCAAAGTTTTTGAATTAGAAGTTTTGTCGCATAGCACTAGCGTCGTGTGCAGTGGATGTAATAAAAACTGCAGGGGCATTGGCAGTAGCAGAACGCCGCAACACACTTGTCGGTATGGAGTTCGCTGCAGCACTAAGCTCGTGGAACCACACTCACGTGCCTATAAGATCACGCGCATCATGCAATGAACTGGTACAATTGCACCGAAATTACTCTAGAAACGCCGAAGACATTCTAATCACATATAGAGTGACCAGACAGTTAGCGTATCGGGTTCTATTAACCGCTGACGCAGAGCGTTTCCACACTTTCACTATGAACTACTAACGTGAGGCGTTCGCCACTTGCATAGAAATTAATGAGGGTACTTCTAGCTGTGCAACGAACGGTCATAGCTGAGTGGCACTGGTACATACTCAAGTGAAAGCAGCAGCCCGCTGCTAGCTCACGCCGGCCCCACAGGGACCGAGCGGAAGCCAGCCCCCGGAGACGCACGAATCACGTGCAGTCAGCCAGACCACAGTCTGGGCAGTCAGTCAGGCGAGTAGGTGGGCAGTCACCATTAGACGACAGTCACCCAGAAGGTTTACGTATGGTACCCATGGGCGTGCCTTTCCCCCTCCCCCCAACAACCAATGGGCGTCGTCCCCAGCGCTGGTGGGGCGCACCTGTCTTGCTGAGCGGCCTCTTGCGGACGCAGGACTGTGATCTGGTGCTCCTCGTACGCGTCACCGTCCTTCAGTGGCCGGAAGTCCAGGCCGCTCTGGTACTCCCTGGCGGCAGCGGGGCCAGCCGCTATCCAAAACAGGCCGGCACCAGTGAAGGCTGATGCACGCATCGAACAACTGTCGCAATGCCAGTTAAAATATGCTTTCTTTAGGGGTATGACCCATGGCAAAGCCATTGATGCCAATAGGACACGGATCACCTCCGATCTAAGCTTTCCAATCTGCCGCGCGAGGCCCAGCGGCTGCGCCGCCGGTCGGCCGGCTGCCCACCTGATCATGGCCAGGAACTCCCAGTTGGCGTTTTCCGGGGTCCGAGTTCATCAGCGCCTCGCGCTCCTCCCGCTTCTTGTTTTGCTTCTCGCGCCGCTCCTCCCGCTTTTTCTGCAGTTTCTCAACCTCCTTCACCACGTTGCTCCGCTTCCGCGCTGCGAACGGAAGGACGTGGACGCATCAGCCGCGGCTGGGACCGTCGCCGAGTGTGTGTGTGAGAGGGGGGGGGGGGGGAAGGGGGAGTGACTGCCACTGGAGAGTGGAGTAGAGCCTATGCGTCTGACGCAGCCGTATCAGCGGGCTAACGAGGCTCTGGGGTCTAACGACGAGGCTCTAGCGACGTCAAGTGACATAAGACGCGCCGTATGCCATATCTAGACAATGTAGATCCACACTATATCCGGACGCACTACCGCAGGACGACGCCCACCATAGCCCCAAAGGGGCTGCCAATTGTGACTGCGCTACAACCGTATGCGATGCGATTATCGCTCCCACAGAGCTGTAACCTGCTCGCTAGATTGTCATCCCAGCAGCACGATGAGTCCGCTAGATTGTCAACCCGACAGCAGTGTAAGCCTGCTAGATTGTCAACCCGACAGCAGTGTAAGCCCGCTAGATTGTCACCCCGACAGCAGTGTAAGCCCGCTAGATTGTCACCCCAACAGCACTGTAAGCCCGCCAGATTGTCACCCCGATAGCACCATAAGCCGCCTATATTTTCTCCCCGACAGTACCATAAGCCCGCTATATTGTCGTCCGGACAACACTAAAGCCTACTAGATTGTAAATCCGCTGCGCTGGGGCTGCGCGCCATCGAACGGCGATTCCGGCCAGCTTCACGGACGCTCGGATGGTTGTCGCGACCGGACGGGATGGCCGCTGAACCAGCGCGACATTATCCCGACAGCGTCACGGACCATAACCGTCGAGCCTCTCCAGCCACGCTCCGGTGCTGGCCGGACTGTCCCCCTCGTGCCGCGCTCCGGTCCTAACCGGACTGTCCCCTCCAGCCGCGCTCTGGTCCTGACCGGATTGTCCCTCCAGCCGCGCTCCGGTCCTGACCGGATTGTCCTCCAGCCGCGCCCCCGGTCCTAACCGGACTGTCCCTCCAGCCGCGCTCCGGTGCTGACCGGACTGTCCCGTGGCGGAGTGAAAACGCCACAGGATCGTCACCGCCGACAGCGCTACGGTCAATTCGGACCCGATCGACCGGGGGTCGCAGAACAGACAGAATGAGCGGCGGTGGCGGAGTATGGATCGCCGGCGTCGCTCCGCCCGAACACCCGCCATCAGTCCCGGCTGTAACCGCCAGCCGGCCGGCCGGGCGATCACCGGCAGGCGGAGCTGTCCAGACGTGTCACGGCGGCGCGATGACCGAACTCCCGGAAGCCCTCTCCCCTCCCCCACCCCTGGGGGGCCCAGAGGCGATGGCGCCAGCCGGGGCGTAGCCGGGGACACGAGCGGGCGGGAGGAGCTCAGGCACAAGGATCCGGTGGGACTGGGTGAGCGAGCTGCAAATCTGGAGATCCCGGGGCTGGCATGTTCGGACCTTCACGTCCAGTTGGGTCGGGAACGGCTCGGTCAGGTCGGCTCGGGGTCCGAGCAAGTTGGGGTGCAGACACAAAGTCACGTAAGCAGTCAGGATTGTGTTTACAAGAGGTCAAGGCCGGAATGGGAGAGGTCAAGGTCGGAAGGTCGGCGGGCCATGACGCACATGTGGCAGACATGTAAGTTAAGTCGTCAAAACGACAGACGCAACGTTAACATGGTGAGCGAGATGTACTAAATGGCCAGTAAACATAGCATCCATTCAGTGCTTGTATGCACATTTGGCTGAGAACCTAAGTCGGTGACGTCAGCCCGTTTATCGCCCTCAAACACACAAATACAGCTGCAGCAAAACACTTTACCACCCGTCCTTGGTGCACACCGAACAGCCCCGGATCTCAGGCCCCAGTCAGCTACATGCCTTTCAATGCCGCAGTTCTGTCACCAGTATCCGCCGTCCAATCCCGTCCTCACAGTCAATCCCGTCCTCCCGTCCGCCCAGTCCTCAGTCACATTCCTGCCCTATCCCCATCCGCAACGTCCCACTAAGCCCGTCTCCCTTGGTCTGCCACCGCCATCCGCTACAGTCCGTCCCCCCAGGTCGGTCCGGTCGTCTCCGCCGCAGTACTCACAGCCGGCGCCGCCGCCGCCGCCGCCGCCGGTGCCCTTGCTGACGGTGGAGGCGGGCGCGATGTTTCGGAGTCGCGCGCCGTCACCGTCAGGCTCATGTCGCCGTTGTTCTGCAGCGCCATTAGGCCGGGCCGGGCGTAGCTCTGCCGCGTCTTGGTGGCTGTCGGCGGACGGCGCAGACCGGCGTCAGCATCAGGTCAGCGGCGGCCCGGCGTCCGACGCCGCTTCAGCATGGCGCCCGCGCCGGCTGCGCCCGGCCGAGTGCGGCTCGGGCTACATCGAGACACACACACAGCGACGCTGGCAGAGCAGAACCCGCCACGGCTGGCCGGCGACGCGGCGGACCGTCCCGTCACGGCGACACAGCGGCGTGGCGGTTACATTGCGCCGCCGGGCGGGGCCAGGACACGAGCGGGCCGGGCGAGCGCGAGCGGCGGGTGCAGCAGCGCGCCCGAGGGCACAGACCGCACAGCTAGTGCTGCGGCCCTCCGTGGCAGCTGCCACCGCGCGCCGGTCGCCCGGCCACGGTGGTGACGAGACGCGTGACACACACGGCGACGCTCGCCCGAGAAAGGCGGCCACCGCCGCGGCCCTACTCACATTTGTTGTTCTGGACGGCCATGGTACTGACGGGGACGTGTACTGGAAACAGGACGGTGACCGGTGAGCAAACCACGTCACATTACTGCAGATTATAGAAAGCACCGACAGGCGTATTCGCTACGCATTAAGCGCAAGGTGGCACGATAGTCCCTCGCCATCTGTAGCGACCACTGGGATAGGGAGGAGACAGTCCAGAGCTATTGAGATGGATATGAGAAAGCTATGCGACATCACATCAGCCGTTCTTATCTTCCAAACTAGACATCGCCGCTCACCCACAGCCGCAGTATCACGCTTGGGGACGATTCCACATCCCTAGTCTAAACAACAGCGACGCATCACTTCTTATTCCATACAGGCGTCCGTCGACCTGCTGTCGTCGCCGGCGTCCATCGCGCGCCAACACGGCAAGACAGCACAGAACAGGGCTGACATCACCGGCGCACTCTTCACAATACACTTCCCAGCAATCACGACACTATCCAGCACAGACCGTGTCCACCCGGCAGCAGTACCGCGCGCTGCCACACGTGTACACTGAACAGACCGTGACCGTGCACACTGGGGACGTACCCCAGCGGTGTATCTCCACCCATGACTGGCGTCGGCAGGGGACGGCGGCCGTGCCCGCTCGCCCCGCACCAGCAGAAGGCCGGCCGGTCAGTGGCGGGGGTCGCGGCGAGCTGCCCTGGTATCGACGCTCGGCCGCCGGCACGGGCTGCGCCAGCGCCGCCCCCTCCCCCCCCCCCCCCCTCCCGCTAGGGGAGCCGCTAATTGGACCGCGCGGCGCCGCCGCGATGGCAGGTCGCGACACCGAAGGTGTAACATCCATCCGCCGTGGGAGCTATTACGCGCCGATGGCGTGGGCCGACGCATTGAAGACGCCAGCGAGGTTCGCGGGTCGCGGCCCGCCACGCCCCCATCGGCGCCATCGAGCTGGTTATCGTGACACGATCAGGTGTGGTTGTGGGCGGGTCCCACTGGTGCACCCCCCCCCTCCCCCCACGCCACGTACAAGCACACAAGAACACACAACGACCTCACCCTATCCCGACAACGGCCCGCACCGGTCTGTCTTGTTACAGGCCTTTGCGACTGGTAACCGCGCATAAGACAGCGACGAGTCGTGCTCGCATTAGCCCTGAGCCCCAAGCTGTCTGCACCGCAGACGCTGCCGGCAGCGGCGGCCAACGCCCCCGCCGCCGTGGGCCCAGCCGTGACGACAGGCCGGCATCCCGGCACGACGTCGCACGTAGCCGCACGTAACGCCAGCCGTTATGCTCATTCAGTGCCCGCAACGGCCCGCCTGCTGAGCGTGGAGCGACCCGCTCGTGACGGTGAGAGTCACACGCGCCGGCTGGGCGGCAGCGGGCCCGGCGGCGCCGTCGCGCGCGGCCCCGCTGCCGCCAGTCGCCGGCCCCCACGCCCGGTGAAGAGGCGGCGCGGCCGTGGCGACCGTGACGGCTGGCCGACGCCAGTCACGCTAGACGACGCTCAGGAGCAAGACCGGCTTTGAAAACATAGCCCCGAATTGCGCACGCCGCGAGGAAGTGTATGTTCAGTGCAGATGTGGTTTAGTGCCTTTTGTTCAGCCACAGCTGTCTCAGGGAAGAGAGAGGAAGGCGAAGCCATCTTTCAGGGCTCACAACGCTTCCCAATTGTTGCCGGCACGTGCCCGGCCGCGGCCCGGCCGTCGGAGCGTCCGCGCGACCCGCAGCCCCGACACAATTAGCAGGGCCGGCGACGCGCGCCGTCCAAACCGCAGCGGCTGCGGCCGCCGCCGTCCCGTCAGGCCTGCCAGCGGCCGCGGCCGCACCCCATGACGGGCCGGCTGCGCCGGCGGCGCGCGTGCTCGCTCGCGGTCCGTGGCGAAGCCCCGGACGGCTGGCGGTCGCAGCGCTGAGCCCGCTCGCACCGGGTCAGGGCCGATGCACGATTACCCTGCATACGGATTAAGGGACGTTAATAAACCGCCGACATGCCAGCCGCCGGTGGTTCGGTCCGGGCGCACCGGTCACGGATCCGGTGAGACGCGGCGACGCAGCTCGTCCGTTGGACGGCCGCCGCTCAGATCCGCGCCGCTGACCATCCGGGCTAATGACGCGCAGAGCAAAGCGCCTTAACACGGCGATGGACAGGTCGCGCCTTCACGACGATGGACAGGTCGCGCGCCTTAGCAAGGCGATTGACAGGTCGCATCAGTTTCCATCGGCAGCGAAAAGCTTCGCTGGCCAGTGTCCAGTCTCGCTCCAAAAGCACCCGAGGTCTGTGAGTAGATCTGCACGCCACCAGAACGCTGCTGCACGGTGTTCCACACAGGAGGAGAGGAGAGTAGGGAGGGAGGAAAAGGCTGGAGAAGAAGCACCACGCGCTTGATGCTGGGCTAATGCTGCTGGTCAGCCGGTTGCCGAAGCCGGCTGGAAGGGATCGTGAGGGACGAGAGGGAAGTGAGGACGGGAACGTACCGCGCGCTGCTGCTGGCTGGTGCTGCTGGTCAGCCGGTGCAGGAAGTCGGGCGGGGAGGGATGTGAGGGGACGGGACGTACCGCGCGCCTGCTGCTGACTGGTGCTGTTCGTCAGCCGGTGCCGGAGGCCGGCTGGGGAGGGACGTGAGGGACGTGAGGGACGTGAGGGACGGGACGTACCGCGCGCTGCTGCTGGCTGGTGCTGCTCGTCAGCCGGTGCCGGAGCCGGCTGGGGAGGGACGTGAGGACGTGAGGGACGGGGACGTACCGCGCGCTGCTGCTGCTGGTGCTGCGTCAGGCGGTGCCGGAGCCGGCCAGACGACGCCTGGGCGGCAGTCCGCTCCAGCCGGCAGGAGTCCGGCCGGCGAGACGTGACGCGCCGCAGCTGCGGATCCGACTGGTCCGAACAGCCACAGGACACGTCAGGGCAGGCAAGGCAAGGTCAGGCAAGGTCAGGCAAGGTCAGGCAAGGTCAGCAGAGGCACGACAGGGCAAAGGTTACGCGCGGGAAGACCGTTCCATGTCCCAACCCAATACCAGCCGCGACTGACAAAGCAGCGCGTTCCAGAATGGCTCGCGCCGCGCATGCAGAGTATTACAGTCGCTATTCGAATAGCCGCTCAGGAATGCGTCCTTTCAACGGTTCCACGAGTGTCAACCCGGCGCCCAGCGCACCAGATCCAGCTTAAGGCCTTTGATCCCGGCGATCAACGAGCTCAGCCGTCACGGGCCATTCGACAACCAACTTCAGCCCACGCAAAAACAACCCGGGCCTCTAAACGTACAGAGCGGATCGGAGTGGTCACAATGCTGTGAAAACACGTTCCTTCACATACACACACATAAAGCACTCTACCGTGAAGACAAAACAGGCCAGCTTTTGGCGGGCGCACTGTAAGACGTGCGATATTGAATCACGGCTGGATTGAGGAAAGATAGCGATGCAGACCACCGCTACTCCGGCGAGCTGTGCGGGCCGACCGTGCCCGGCCGTCCGTCCCCACCGCCGGCCATCTGCTGACCCGTCGGGGTCGCCAGAGCGTGTCTCCGGCCATCAGCTGACGCCGACGGCGGCCCGCCGGCGGCCGGCGCGCGCAAAGAGCGGCTGGCGGCGCCGTGCGTGAGCTCCGCCGGCCGCCGGTGTGACGTCACACAATGACGTTCACGGGGAGCGCGGCTCGCCCGGCGACACCTCTCCGAGAGCGTGTCATTTCCTCACTACGTCATTTGCGTCATTCGCGTGTCCAAACACGTTTCCGCGGATCGTGACACTTCCCCATGAGAGGTGTCCGCCAATGCCACAGCGCCGCCGTACCACGCCTGGTTTTTCTAGGCCGATGCCTGATGCACGTGTTCGGAGCGACCCCTGTCATAGGCTCGTCATAGGTCATCGCCCGTCCGCCGACCCTCGGCGGTCCTCCCGCCGTCATCCCGTCCCGGGCTGGCACGATACTTTGCAAGCGAGTCATTCGGTCTTGATCACTGGGACCGGGAGCGCAGCGCTGTTGCAGCAACGGCTGGCCCGAACTGCCGCGGAACACGCGAACATCAAGCCGGTGTCGCTCCGCGCCGATGGGACGGTCGGTTTACGTCCGAGTTATGCCGGTCTTCGTTCCGCAGCTGCATGCCATCTGTCGGCAGGCTTGACCCATCGGTCATTCAACCATTCCCCAATAAAAACCCTCGCCATTGTCCCCCGCGCGCCCCCCCGAACGCCGCCCGCGAGCGCAACGCATCAATGATCGATGGTGTCTCCGTCAAGTGCGTGCTTCGACTCTTACACTTCATCACACTGCAGGCTGCGCCGCCGGCGTCCGAGATCGAACCAGTCAATCACGCCGAGCGCCCTCACCGCGCGCCCCGACCGACCAACACCTGCCCGTTGACCCGAGTTCGGAGCGCGCCCGGCCGCGTCAGGCGACGGCCACGCATCGATCGCGGCGGCGACGCGGCCCGTGTTGACGGCCGTCGCCCGGCGACCCTCGGCGTCGCGCACCCCGCTCCGGCCGGCCGCCCGGGACCCTCCGCCGGCCCAGCCCCGGTCACGCCGCGCCAGTCGAGATGCAGGGAGCGAAGGGAGAGGCGCCGGTGCCGCGACAGGCTGGCGACCGCTCGGGCCATTGCTGGGCCACGGCCAGGTGGATACGGCCACTACGACCGGCTGGTTAGCATGGGTCCGTCCCTGCCCAGCTTCAGACCCAGCACCACCGTCCTTCGAACACGCCTTGACTTGGACACACGCAGCTGCGTGCCTTGATGCGACCGTGACCGCACACGGCGCCGCGCTCACATGATCCTGATGGGAAACACCATCGCTGCCAGTACGCCCGAAAGGCGGTCAATGAACGCACGGCTTGGGCGACGCGCGACGCCCTGCCGGTGCGATCGGGGCTTTGTTGCTGGTCCGGCCGGGCGCCGGTCACGGGCCGGCCGGCCGTGACGGGCAGCCGTGACTGACAGTCTGACAGTCACAGGCGGAGCGGCGGGCGCGGCGGCCCCGGCCGGTCGTCACACCGACCGACGCGCCGGGCCTGGCGCCAGGACGCCGCTCAGACCGAGTCACAGGCGGCGCGGCGGCCCCGGCCGGTCGTCACACCGACCACGCGCCGGACCTGGCGCCAGGACGCCGCTCAGACCGAGTCACAGGCGGCGCGGCGGCCCCGGCCGGCCGGCAAGCCGACCACGCGCCGGACCTGGTGCCGCGACGCCGCTCAGACCGAGTCACAGGCGGCGCGGCGGCCCCGGCCGGTCGTCACACCGACCACGCGTCGGGCCTGGCGCCAGGCCGCCGCTCAGACCGAGTCACAGGCGGCGCGGCGGCCCCGGCCGGCCGGCAAGCCGACCACGCGCCAGACCTGGCGCCAGGACGCCGCTCAGACCGAGTCACAGGCGGCGCGGCGGTCCCGGTCGACCGTCACACCGACCAGCATTACCGGCAAGATATTGCCAGGCGGCGTTTGATGACGTCAGACTATAGCGCGACATGCTGCCCGATCCCGGTGGGCTCTGGTGGTCTGATGAGTGACGGCGCAACAAACGTCATCCAGATCACCATCTATCGACTTCCTTTCGACTGACGCGTGGTTCTTCTAGCACCAAAGTATTTTGCCAGAGCAAATTTTCGGTGAGTTCAACTTGCGGTGTACATATGCCGCCAGGGAAGGATTAAGAGCTGTGGCAAACTGTGCCCAGTTTCTGAGCAGAACTGTGGAATACCGATAGTCCACGCATTTCTGAGCAAGAGTTGCCTGTAGAAATAATTGTCTTCCGGAAATCTATACCGATTGATTTTACGAGAAACCGTGTGAAATGCTATCTGTTTATGCATATCTCTGGAAAGGTTGTCCGTGGACATGCCTGCCATCCCTGCAGACAGACAGTATTGGTATTCGAGACAGCAAACGCGTGACGGCTGTGCTGCTCCACGCTGTTTCCCTGCCCGGCTGTGCCGCTCCTCGGTGTTCCCATGCCCGGCTGTGCTGCTCCCCGCTGTTTCTCTGCTCGGCTGCACTACTCTCCGCTGTTTCCCTGCCCGGCTGTGCTGCTCCCCGCTGTTTCCCCCGCCCGTTGTGTCGTTCCCGGCTGTTTCCCTGTCCAGCTATGTTGCTCCTCCTGTACCTCTGCCCGGCTGTCTTTTCCTCAGATCATTAGTCTGATCCCACCGACTGCGCGTCTGGTATTTCGGTGCGAACAGCTGGACAAAAACGGCCCACTTAACACCACCCGCTGCTAGCGTCGAGGACATAGGGAAACATCATTATTTCAAAACGGCCGCAAAAACCGTCTTCCGCCCAGACCTCAACCCACGCATGGAGGGTGTGGGCAGCGCACCAAGAGCAACGCACCCCATCGGCGCCATAACTTTCACAACCGTAACGGCCGAGAATTTTACAGTTAAAATGAGCACGCACATCATCATGACAAATGTTGGGGAGGAATCCGCGATAGCTCAGAACATTACGCGCGCAGCTTAATACAAAATGTAGCTATGTGCTGTCACATCCCATGGTCTTGACCATGCGTGTATCGGGAACTGCGTGAAGCGTCATTTGCTAGGCCACTCCAAAAACATAAGCCTCTGAAGCGTCGAGGACTGTAGTTCGCTCGCGTCAGCGGCGTGTCACTACCCACACCGGCCAGT